TATATATATATATATATATATATATATATATATATATATATATATATATATATATATATGTATATATATATATATATAGGCGGGGCTAAAATCATTTTTCTCGGGGGATACTATCAGGACAAGAACATAAGACAAATACTTTCAATAACATCAACATGTTTTTCCGAAACAGGGAGTTGCAAAAGTTCTAGATTTGTCGAAGTGTCTATTTCGATTGTATGCGACTTACAATACTTCCTCTAAACTCTATACCTTAAAATCTAATAACAACTGAGGTCGCATGTTGGAAGCTTGAACGACTTAACTACATTTCATCCGATTTCAATGGTGGGGGGGGGGGGTATTGCTTTGATATATAAGCAAATTTGACGAACTAACAATGTTGAATTAAACTCGTACCTCGTTGTATCACTGAATGTGTGTGTGTGTGTTGATATGTGTATGTCCACTGAAGAGGTTTAGATTGAGCCCTTTGTTTCTTACAAACTTTAAAAGATTATTTGAAGTAAATATGTGAACTTGTGTATGTGTGTAAGTGTCAGAAAAATAATATATGTTGGTAGTAATTGTTAGACACTTTCTCAGACAGTTACTGTAATGGTTCATTATATTTTATTCTTCACTTGATAATATCTGCCTCATTCTTGTCTTGTTAATATCTACCTCTTAGTTTTTGTCTCGATGGCAGTAGCGTAGCGAGGGGGGGGGGGGGGGCGGGGGGGACATATGTCACCGGGCGCCGACCTTAGGGGGGCGCCAAAATGGGTTGAAAAATAAATTGAAAGGTTGAGGGGGGTGCAAATCGAAAGTTTGAGGGGGTGGGGAGTGCAAATTAAAATCTCAAGAGGGGGGGGGGGGTGCAAATCGAAAAGTTTGTCCCCGGGCGCCGGGAAGGGTCGCTACGCCTCTGCTCGATGGTATCTAAAGCAAGTTCCTCTCTCAATGGTATCTAACGCAAATACCAATCTGTCCTTCGGTCTGTAAGTCCGTCAGTCCGTCGGCTCGTCCGTCCGTCAGTCCGTCAGTCCGTCAGTCAGTCAGTCTTTCTGTCTTTCTGTCTGTCTGTCTGTCTGTCTGTCTGTCTGTCTTTCTATCTTTCTTTCTTTCTGTCTTTCTGTCTTTCTATCTTTCTGTCTTTCGGTCGTTCGGTCGGTCGTTCGGTCGGTCGGTCTGTCTGTCTGTCTGTCTGTCTGTCTGTCTGTCTGTCTGTCTTTCTGTCTTTCTGTCTTTCCGTCTTTCTGTCTTTCTGTCTATCTGTCTATCTGTCTTTCTGTCTTTCTATCTTTCTGTCTTTCTGTCTTTCTGTCTTTCTATCTTTCTGTCTTTCGGTCGTTCGGTCGGTCGTTCGGTCGGTCGGTCTGTCTGTCTGTCTGTCTGTCTGTCTGTCTGTCTGTCTGTCTGTCTGTCTGTCTGTCTGTCTGTCTGTCTGTCTGTCTGTCTGTCTGTCTGTCTGTCTGTCTGTCTGTCTGTCTGTCTGTCTGTCTGTCTGTCTGTCTGTCTGTCTGTCTGTCTGTCTGTCTGTCTGTCTGTCTGTCTGTCTGTCTGTCTGTCTGTCTGTCTGTCTGTCTGTCTGTCTGTCTGTCTGTCTTTTGAGTCAGTTTTCATTTATTTAAATCAAAGCTGTGTGACAAGAATAAAGCTTTCTAAACCCAGACTGATTACTGTGGAAAAGAATATGCTTTTCTATGTAGTTTGACATGCATTTTTCTGTATCCATTTCTAAGGTGCGCGGACCTTTGACCACATGTGCTTTAACCATAGGGGCTTTGACCATAGGTGGTTTGACCACAGATGGGTTCTGACCATAGGGATTTTGACCAAAGTGGGGCTTTGGCCATAGCTGCTTTGACCATAGGTGGTTTGACCACAGTGGGGATTTGACCATAACGGGGCTTTGACCATAGGGCCTTTGACCACAGATGTTTTCTCAGCAGAGGTTCTTTGATAACAGGTGGTTTGTCAACGGGTGTTTGATCACAAGCGCTTTTTCAAACATATGTTCAAACAGATGTACTGACATATGGTCAAACAGATGTACTGACATGTGTTCAAAGAGATGTACTGACATAATTCCGTGCTATAGCACATCTGTCATTAATTTAACCATACAAGTATTACTTTTTTTACTATATTGTTGGCATGTTCTTTTATCTTTTTTTATCCTTTATATATGCTATGTATTTTCAATTACATCTACATTATGTCGCGTTATTTGTGTTCCATTTATATTTAAAATAAATCTATGAGGCCTAGCACCAGCCTTTATGTGGAGACTAAAATATCGTTCTTGACTTTTGTTTTAGTATATGTTAATTCCTATTAATGGACTCTCGGGAAACATGTATGAAATCGTATTAAGTGTATCATAAATTTAAATCAAATAACAGTATATAATTTCTATTTTAAAATCTATATATTATTGTTAATCTCCCTCTGTGGCGAAAGCCCCGTTGCGCTTAAAGCCCAACTATGGTCAAACCCCTTATGGTCAAAGCAGCTGTGGTCCAAGCACCTAGGACTATTTTTCTAATGGTTTAGAGAGAGAAGAAAGTATTGAAATTGGCGTGTAGTTATTATGATCTTGAATGTTATCTTTTTTTGTGTAGTCGTATAACTTTAGCATGCTTAAAATGTTTCGGGTAATATTGTTTGGCAATAAAGAGATTATAGATATAAATCAAAACTTCAGAGACTATTGGAGCTAAAATCTTTAATACTTTATTAGAGATAATATCAAACGAATTTGTTGTAGGCGGTCTAAACTTCATGAACCGTCAGAAGCAGCTCTTTCTTACCACTATGAGCAGAATTACATAAATGTTTAAACCTCATGCTGATTGTGTAATCAACATCTGTGTTTAGCGCTACCGATGATATAAAATGACTACTGAAGTCATCAGCAGATATCTGGTTATATGCAGCTGTATGGCATGTAAATTTTTTCCTAATAATTTGTTTTTTTGCAGTCCAAATAGTTTTGAAATTAGATTTGCCTGACAACAACTTTTTAAAATGCTCCTTCTTCGATTTACGCACAAGCAGTCTGGCATAATTTCTTTGCTAACTAAAGTCGTCAGTAGTACCACTATAGGTACTGGGGAACCAGAGTCATATTGATGAAATTAATATATATTTTATGTTTGGAACAACCACAGATGCCCACTAAATGATGGTAATGTGGCTCTATTCGCTATTACCAATATTTTTTTGTTTGACCTAATCTGGTGTGTTTATGTTGTTTATAGCGACTCAATGGATAATGAAGATATGAAAACCTTATGTAGCTCTTAGGAGAAAACATGATGATAGAAATGTGGAGGCATGTACCCAACAGAAATTCCCAGAATTAATTAGGATGTTGTTGACCATTAAAATCATATGAAGTTTATATGTCATCCAAGTTGATTTTGTTAGGTGGAAGAGTATGTAGGATTATTGGTGTGCTGTGATTTATCAGGGTATTTTAGTGAGCATAAATGTTGAGATATAATTAATGCATCGATTTGATGACTCAGATGAAAGTAGAGACTAAACAATTAACGTTTTTGAGTAGAAACTGTTTGTTATAGTATGCAAGCTAGAGAGATGTGGCTAGGTAGTGAGTATGTGAGGTACACAGTGTGATGGGTATATTAAAGACAATTGTATCCGGAATAGAGAAGACCAGTATTTAAATAAAGACTTGAGAAGGAAAATAATGGCCATCTTGTCGAGTGATTATAGCCTGTGTTGTTGTTACGTGTAACAGCTGATAATGATAGTGGCTTGCTTTACATGGTAGTGGGTCAAGTCTAGTTAAATTCTCTCACAACCCTCACCCCCCCCCCCCCCTCCCCCCGCCGGCCTCAACTTGACATTACTAATTTCATCCAACAGCTTTAAGATCTAAACAAAATCAATAACTTATTAAGGTTTGGAACATTTCGAACAACAGCCGTTTTATCATAAGCGTTGTAAAATGTACAACCTCCAAACATTTGCTAAATAAAAATATCTGTATTAGAGCAACAGTTTCTTCCCCAGTCTACCAAATTATGTGTTTTCCAGAGGAGCAAAAGGCTGCAGCTACAAATCTCCCGATTCTTATTTCATTAAATATTTGTCAACAAAATAAGAACATGATTACCTACAAATAACACAGTATAACTCTTCTAAAATGTTTCCACAAATTGTGTAACATTTGTTAATAGTAGATTTCGATCTAAATACATTTGAGAATAAAAAAATAAAGAAAAAATGAAACTAATGAATATTTATATATACAACTAATAGATAGAGAAGCTGAGAGAAATAGGTTTGAATGAAACGCCTATGTTAAAAACACGGAGTCACGTGATATCAAGACGGTAGTGTTTTGCTGGCCAATCAGACATGAACACGTGAAGATGTTCATTTATAACTGTGGGTTGTAAATGTTCAAGAATCCCTGTGGTAGTTGCGGTATTATTTCTTCATATATTGCTGTGCTCGTTGATATTTGATTCTACTTTGTAGTAATTTACAATCGGATAAACAATTGAGCAGTGGGAAAGAGGAACACGGTAGGTCTTAATTTTATACTGCGGGGTACATTTTTTAATTTGTCTCTTTTAGCCGAACAGGTTGTTCTAATTTGTCAGGAGAAAATGCTTTTCTTCAGAAAAAACACACCGAAGTTTTTTGGGGGAGTAAAATATTTATAGATTTAAAATGTAGACTTACATCTTGATAAGTGCTGCAGTGTGACCAAGTTTCCTTTCCGGCCACGACGGTCATGGAGCAAGTGAAGTAGTTGACCTGTTTCTTTGATTCGGTATACGACGAGATAATGTGGTCAGCACTATGCCCTAACTATGTGGTCTTGCGGACGGTCTACTTATTTGAACACGGATTCGAACTCAATACTTTCGAGTAAACAGTCTATCACTCTTTCGCTAGACCACACCGTTCCAGTGCGACTAAATCTCGACACATAGAATATTATACTGAATTTTCAAAAATTAAGTTATTTATTTCAGAAAATGAATATCCTGATGTTAACCTCATATTTACTGCCACTTGTTCTGACGAGTTTCATACGGGAAGCTACAGGGGACAATATCTCCAGCAGTTATCCAGAATCTTTTCATACTCGTCAGAGTTCTTCAGGCAACAGATTGGTAATACTTTTTTTTTGGTGGCAAGTATAATAATACACAAAACATCTGGATTGATGAAAGTGCAATCCCTGTTTCTATTCATTAAGAATATACAAGAACGTTTTGGAAAGATTACTTCCGCTATTTATTCCCTTTTTATTGAATAATTGTATAAAGGCTTTTTCTTAAAACCTTTTTGTTAATTTTTTTTTAAAAACTCATTTTTTTTTTAGTAATTATCATTTTTATTTGAAGATATACATTTTTAAATTCTCAGCAACATGTAGCCTATTTATGGCTTATGAAAAACCATTATAATTTTTGCAGATGAAAACATCCTACACTTATAACATTTTGACAACAACCTGGGCCAAAGTGGCCTATATTATATATGGATTCATCCCTTTAACTGCTGTAAGGTAAGTCATAGAGACCAAAGCTTTGAAGCTTTGAATTAAAATTTTCTTGAAAGTAAATAACACAAAACAAGGTGAGTATGTATTTGTACTTTTATACGCACTTATATTAAGTTATATACGCGTGAACGTATACGTTTTTCTACGTATGTTTGACAGTAGATATGTATGTATATACGATCGTTCGTTTTTACATGTGCATGTAGACTATGTATTAAGAAGGATTTTGTTATAATGGTCGCATAGATTTTTAATAATTACAATTATTTTTAAATATTTCGGTAGCTTCCAGTAGGGGGGTGGGGGTTGAGCTGCCATGGAAAGCTGACTAAGGTTAAATAAGTTAAGCGGCATCGAAGAGCTTGAGAGGACGATGAAGAAAGTAGTTGCCAGTACGTAATGCTACTTGACCACTTTGCTTTATATATAGATTTGACGAACTAACAATGTTGAATTAAACTCGTTTTTTTTTTTTCATTTTCCCTCAAACGTCTATTCCTCTATTAGCTCTTGTAGGACCTAAAACTTGCTGAAAATATGGATCTTATTTTGTTTAGAGGGGTCCTTAAGTAGGCCAGTGTTATACATGTATTTTCTTTTGTTTTCCAAAATGATTTTCTTCAGCTTAAGTTTTACTTTAGCAACAAGTAGGTGATGGTCTGAAGCAACATAAGCTCCTCTCTTGACACGTACATCTTGAATTGTTCTCCTGCACATTTTTATGATACATATATGGTCTGTCTGTTTTTTTGTAGACAGGTCGGGTGATATCCAAGTAGCTTAGTGTATCCTTTTGTGATGAAAGATATCGCATCCAATTACCAAATTACTTGTGGCACACACGTTAGCAAATCTTTCTCCGTTTTCGTTCATCTCACCTCAGCCCTGCTGTCCTATACATTCTTCATATCCTCTATTGTCGCTTCCAATCTTAGCATTAGTCACCCATAAGTATAAGGATGTTTCTTCTTGGGCGGTTCTGATCATTAGTAGAATTCATCTTATTTCTCTTCTTTGCTGTCATTTTTTTGGGGCGTAGCCCTGTATTATGTCCATGTTCATTCGTCTTATTTTAGTTTTAAAGGTAGCTTTTATGATCCGCGGGCAGTGTGCCTCTCATACAATGAGAGCCCTTTGTGCATGACAGCGACTCCTTGAGTATGTGGTGCATTTTCTTCCTCGTGGCATGAGTACAGCAGTAGCTCACCTGTTAGTAATCTTTTTTTGTCCTGAGCCAGTCCACATTGACTCGCTGATACCCAGGATAGCTGTTTTATAACGTCTCATTTCTGCGGCTACTCCAGCTTCATACATTGTGCGGACATTCCAAGCTCCAATATTGATGGTGGACCTGGTGGAAATAATGGTGGGCGACCTGGTAGATTCCAATACATATTGGCTTTCACCACCCGGCTTCATAAATTCTCCATTGGGAGATCCATTCTTCCCCAAGTCCGAGCTGTCTGTATTTCTCTTTGTCTTCCTTTCTGTAGCTAGTTGTTTTTTACGATATAAGGTTGCTGAACGTATTCTCAACCTGCAGCCTAGAGGACCAGGGTGCAAGCTTTCGTCTGACCCCTACCCGAGCAGACTTCCCAGCTTGGTTGAACCTACCAGGAGTTAACACTCACGCTGGTATTGCTCTTGGGGTCGTGGGGGTACACAAGCTGCCAAGCCAAGGCACAGTTCTAGCACCAGATGACAGGCGATGGAGGGGGGAGGTTCCAAACTAGTTGACCTTCGTGTATGCTTATGACCAAGTGATGCGGTTCTAAAAAGTTGATATTATTTAATGTTGTAAACGAATGCCAGTTGTTTGAAATATCAAGTAAGTAGTGAAAATTAGATGTAACAGAGGTGGGTGCATAAAATTGTGTAATTGTTTTATAAAAATTAAATTAACAATCATTGTCTTTATTTTAATGATATCAACGCTCAGGTTTAATATTGAACTGTGCCCGGAATCCAACTGTTTCCCAGACATAGCATTTCAATTCAGCGTCCGTATGAATACAAATCTTGTGGTAAGGACTCATAAGAAGAATGGTAAATGGGCCAGTGAACAAACAGATGGAGGTATGCCCTTCAGAAGAAATGCCAATTTCAATGTAACAATTCAACTTACTCATACAGCATATGAGGTTGGTATACACAATTATTTTCTGGGCGAATTATTTTAACACAATGTTACTTCCGTATGAAAGAAAACATATTCGATTTTTACTTTCTCGTATATACGAAATATAGAGAAAGTATTGTAATCGTGCACAAAATTCACCTGAAATTTTAACAATTTTTACCGTATTACACCTCAGTCCTTCATCACATCCGAAGTATAGAGGACTTATTTTAATCGGACAAAAATTATCAATCCAGATTTATCAAAATTAAAAGGTTTTATGCGTAATCCAGTCTGAAAAACTGGGCTTTGCAATTCTGTCCGTATGTCTGTGTGTCTGTCTGTCCGTGTGTAAACACGATAACTTGAGTACCGTTACAGCTAGGTTGATGAAATTTCATATATAAGTATTTTATCAAAATCGTAGATCAGTATCAACTTTTGAGCGATTTCCGATAACCGGAAGTGGTATTTTTTCTACTTTGAATTTTTCAAAAGCCTCTAACTTGAGTATTGTTTCAGATAGATAAATGAAATTTCACATGTAAGTAAAAGATCTAATTCTCTACCATCTGTTAAATTTTGAGTAATTTCCATTGACCGGAAGTAGTAATTTACGCTCCTTCTGATTTCTTTAAAAAACAAATGTAAATTTTTAAAGTACTGATAATATTGCGCACTATTATGCACTTTTGTATTTGGCGTTCACTTGGTGTGCAATTCTTTTGTCTACGAGATTTTATTATATTTTTAACACTTTAAGTATTTAAAATGGATTAAAAATCATATCTATAGCCCGAGTTCCCATCCCCTGTTGTTTTATATAAGAATATTCGAGAAAGTATAGGGGAGATCACTCCTGGTTTATTTTTTTAATTTCACAGGTGTATGTTAACCGTGTTTATTTCTGCAAGTATCTGTATGCATTCCAGCCTGAAAATGTTAATTTCATTAAAGTTCATGGTGATGTTCAACTAAAAAGAACAGCTGCTAGTGTAAGTTGAATTTTTTCTTGCAATTTTACAATTTTATTTTTGTCGAATGCATATATGTCGTCGTGGATTGAAACGCTCGAGCAAAATTTAGTGCACTTCTAACTGACAGACTCCTTTCAAAGCTAGCAAGTGGGTGAAGACATGAAAACAATGTAATCAGACATTAAATTTGACTTAATTAAATGCCTCATTCTTTTTAAAAGAATTATTTAAATTTTTGTCCAAAATTAGAAGTCTGTCAGATTTATTTATTTTGCACAATTGTACACACGTTATCATGTCCATTAGGTGCGCAAAAAAGCGTGCGTCTCCTCCTTAATATTAGTACAGGTATTCAATAGTTAGTAAAGTGAGGTACCCTTTTCTTTACAGTTATTTACATAGTAGTCTCTCAGGATAAAAGATATCAGGACAAAATATATCAGGACAAATAATACCAAGGGCAATGGTCGCAGGCAAAAATAGTATTTAACATGATTTTATTAGATTTTATCCCTTTTTAAAAAAAAATAGATTATCATTTGGTTTTTATATATCTTTTTTTCCTTACATGTAATAATAGTGATAAAAGGATTATCGTATGTTTCTCGCATTACATTAAACGTTATAAAATTGCAATTACAAATATATTCGAAGATTTAAGAAAAACTATGTTTCAATTTGGAAGGACGGGCTATAAAAACACTTAGCATTATGGCCGCTCGATTTATTGGCAGAGACATGCCCTAAGAGAGAGGATGTTCACTCTTTGTGGACAATACAACTATCATTTAAAGTCAATAGTGATATTTCGGTCACACTCGGGTGATCACGGGACAAATTTTTATTTAAACCATAGTGTTCATTGCAAAGCAAAGTTAATCATAGTATACATTCCATCAAAGCAGTTTTACTTGTGATAATCTAACTTTAGCCTCTCTCTTTACATTGCAGAAAGGCATCTGCTCCTCTTAGATTTCATATTTATACATATTTATGGCAAAAGCCAGCCCAGAAATTCTATGCTACATTTGTGCTGAGGATCCACTAAAAACATTTTTTTTATTACATTACGACCTTGAAGACCCAATCACGTTTTCGAAAACCATTTTACGTGTTTTATTTATTGTATGCATTGTCATGTACTCTTACAATTTAAATAAAATGCTGTTTAAAATATAGTTTAACTCATTAATTTGATATAATTCCCAATCATAATGTGTGAAAAAAATCCACCTGACAGTTTTATAAAAAATGACTTAAATCCTCCTAAATACAATAAATATTTTGCTCTGAGATTTTTTTCTCCTACATATTTTGTCTGAGATAATTTGCCCATGGCATCATTTGTCCTGATATATTTTGTCCTGATATCTTTTTTTCCGTGAGATAATTTGTCCTCGAGAGATCATTTGTCTAGTAATTATTTGTTTTAAGATCATTTGTCTGTGAGATATTTTTTCTTGAATATATTGTCTCAGATCATTATTCCTGATAATATAGGAGGACCCGCAAAATTTATTTTGCGTTTGGGGGGGGGGTGCTTTTTTTAGTTCCGCAACTTCTTCAACTTTAATACATTACGTCACGCTACGCCAAGACCACACTACGCTACGCCACTCTACAATTTTTGTTTTGATTTCCAGGTTGACTATCAAACTATGTATCTACGCAGAACCATTGCAGTTGGTGATTGGGTTCGATTTGAATTGACACCGAAAAGTTACAATGATATTGTGTAAGTATTTCTCATTGCTCTTTTAGGCTGTTCAATTCATCTTGTTATTTTCTATATTGTAAATGGATCGTATGCTTGAAAGGTGCAAGTTGCTGACAGTTTTCTTTCATAAGCTATCTCAATTTCTGCGATATCCTTTGAAAATAAAAATTTAAAACTTATCGTACCTTTGGAGAGAACAGGATATTTAGCCAATGTGATCAGGTTACTATGGGATGGCATGGTCGGATGGTAGAGCATACGACTTCTAGCCCGACATTAACGAGTTCACATTCTGTTTTTTTTTTGTTATTGGAACTTCCCTGAGTCCACTCAGTTCTGATGAGTACCTGACTCGCGCTAAGATAAATAAATACGGTTGGGCATAGTGCTGACACACTGTACCTTCACATACCAAGGTTCCTAAGACATGTGAACTCTACTTCACACGTCACCTGTCGAGTTCGACAGGGTACATTACTTACTTCAGTATCAAACGACTATTGCGCATTCCGCAAGGTTTTGCAGACGACAGTGTCTTTACAATCAAACAGTCGCTTCTTGAGTAACAACGCTTCCCCTCAGTCTTAGGTAACTTGTTAATGTTTAAGTGGTCAGTGTCTCTGTCATACAGTGTTTCTCTCAGAAAGGCACTTATAGCTTTTAGTGGTGGGGGGTCAAAAATATGAAAATATTTGATAGGGGCGGACACTGGTTAGATTATAAATTGTCTATATAAAAAAAATTCTGCTCCGTCTGAATGAAAATGGAAGTTTGTCATGGGGGCACACACTTCTCACTAAGAGATGCCCGAAAGAAACTCTGTAAGTGGTAGAACTACCGTGCAGGAAAACCAGCGTAATAATATGTGTGTTTTACACCTTGTTAGTCATTTGGTAAATATAAATGGAGCGGTGATTATTTTACAGTCACTAACTCATGAAGAACAATAATTTTCAAAAAGAAAAACACTATTCGAAATGTATTATGAAATATAAGTACTTAAAAAAAACTACTTCTTGTTTTTTTTCTAATAGCAAATTTTTGGGAGCGGAGGTAATAACAACCAAATAGAGTGACCTCTAGAATTCATTTAATTATATAGATAAGATGCCCATTGCTTTTCTTTTAAATAGCCCACTGATGTCGAAATTAAACGACTTAAAATGTATAATATGGAGAAAATACCTCCTTAAAAAATAGTCTAATAAAGCGGAGAAAAACAACATTCTTTTTAATAGTCGAATAGTGGACTAAGTACACTCCTTAAAGTAGTATTGTCAAAAAAAGAGGACATAAAACGTTTTCAATTAGTCGAAGAGAAGGAATTTAAGAATTGTTAAAAACAAATGTTTGTGCTGGGCTATTTTGAGGCACCTACTTTATAAACTGATCAGCTCTTTGGGACCATATCACTAATAACTGCCTGAGAAATCTACAAAGAAATTTTGAATTATTATTTAAACAGCACATGTTAAAGAATAACTTACTGTTAGAAGAGATTTGTGTTGGTTCGAAACTAAAACAATAAATACACTAGTTGATAAAACAGCCAGAGGAAATCATTCGAACTATCAAGCTTTAGTATTTGCCAGGCTTGTACTGTTTCAATTTTCGAGATTTCAACACGCCCCTATTCTAATTAACCCACCTCCGTCTAGCTACTTTCTGATGGCAAAATAAGTAAAGGTAAAGCAAATAGTAACTGGCAACACACATTTGAGGGTAAAACAATGAGAGCAGATCAAACCTTGTGGGCCTGAAAAAGCTGGCCAAAGGCTGTCAAGTGTGTAAGAACTTGGTCGCAGCCCCTACACGCTGAAGAGCTTCAATTTTTAAAAAAAATTCTTTACTCCAGAAGCATAACTACCGATCCGGCGCCCCAATGAACTGTCAACTCCATTACCAAAAATCTCTCACAATTGCTCCACTTTAAAAATGATATTTAAAAAGTTCGTCCTCTTACTTGAAACGTTACTCAAGTTATAATTTTCACAGACAAATAGACAAACATACATACAGACAGATAGACCGGCGGACAGACGAATGTACAGGTAGACGGACAGAATTGTAAAACTAATTTGTTCCAATTATATAAAATCGGGAAAATTTGTTAAAATCCAGATTTTATTTTGCGCATGATCACAAATCTATATTTAATTTTTCGCACGATAACAAAACTTTCACTTTTAACAAGAACGTAATGTTGAAAAACTTTCAGGTTCTTCGAAATATGTAACCAAACAGGTGATGAAGTCAAGCCTATAGCTTCAATTTGGGGACCAAATAAAAAAGCCTTTACGTTTTACTGTAATCGCTGTGATGAAATTCCTCTTGATATGTTCCATGGAGATCAAGAAATGTTTATCATTGAAATAGAATTTTTATCTAATGGAGTAATAAAG